GCTTCTGGAGCAAGAGATCATGGCTTTAACAAGCCCCATTTGGGTTATTCATGTTTATGGGATATTTTCAATGTGTCACACAGGGCCGAGATTTCCTTGCTATTTTTGTCTTTGGAAAAATTCTCCAAGAAACTCATGGTGGAAGTTCCTTTTTTTTTTTTTTTAAACATACTTATGTTATAGCACCACAGGTTGATGGAGCTCAGGAAATCAATAACGTAGCTATTTTAGGAGCACAATGGAAGTCACTCTGCAAAAGGATGGAAAAAGCCAAGTTCCTAGGAAAGGGAGTGAGTGTAAATGTAGATTCCTATAACAGGGAAATGTTTTGACCTTGTGCTGGCTACCATGTATCACTGTCGGCCTCCCTTTGTCCCATCCTGACTGATATTTGTCAGATTGTTGAGAAAAGGAAGCTTAGAGTTTGAAATACATTTAGGAAACTTCTGGTTCAGTGGTTTCCAAACACTGTCTGAATTAGTGGGAAGCTTGTTAAAAATACACATGTCTAGGCCTTGCTCCTGATCGAGGAAATTCAAATCTCTACCATTGAGCTAAAGAAGCCTTATTTCTAATAAATCTTCTGGGTGAGTCTGACATGCAGGCAAGTTTGAAAACTATTAATCTAGTTGAACTCTCTACCTATCATAGGATTTCCCACTGCATCCTATATACTCAAAGTGAGGTTCAAGGACAGCAGCGTTGTAATCTCCCAGGAGCTGTTTAGAAATATAGGATCTGGGGGCACCTGGGTGGCTCAGTGGGTTGAGCCTCTGCCTTCAGGTCTGGTCATGATCCCAGGGTCCTAGGATCCAGCCCCGCATCGGGCTCTCTGCTCAGCACGGAGCCTGCTTCCTTCTCTCTCTCTGTCTGCCTCTCTGCCTACTTGTGATCTCTGTCGCAAATAAATAAATAAAATCTTAAAAAAAAAGTACAGAATCCCAAGCCTTATCCCGGACTGCCCATTCAGAATCTGCGTCTTTCATAAGATCATTTACATCAAAGCTGAAGAGGCACTGCTCGTCCTCATCCTTGACAGATGGCCACCAAGTCACTGCTTACAACCTCCAGGTTGGGGAGCTCATTGCTTTTGGTAGCAACCTGCTTCTTTGCTCAGTGCTTTTTTTTTTCCTCTTCTTTTAAAAAATTTTTATTTATTTATTTAAAAGATTTTATTTATTTATTTGACAGAGATCACAAGAAGGCAGAGAGGCAGAGAGAGAGCAGGAAGCAGGCTCCCTTCTGAGCAGAGAGCCCGATGCGGGGCTTGATCCCACAACCCTGAGATCATGACCTGAGCTGAAGGCAGAGGCTTAACCCACTGAGCCACCCAGGCACCCCTAAAATTTTCTATTTATTTGACAGAGGGAGTGAGAGAGCACAAGCAGGGGGAACAGCAGAGGGACAGGGAGAAGCAGGCTTCCCACTGAGCTGGGACTCCCGATGTGGGCCTTGATTCTAGGACCCTGGGATCATGACCTGAGCCAAAGGCAGATGCTTAACCAAATGAGCCACCCAGGTGCCCCCAGAGGAAATTAAAAGAACTATGAAGATACCAAGGGAGAGAGGAGCACGGAAGGTGAATTTTAAAGATTTCTAAAAATTGAAACTTCTTGGAGGGGGGAGGGGCCGTAGAAGCCAATGTCATCAGAGTCCTACTATTTAGAACACTCCTATTGCTCCAAGTCTTGACATGTCACTGAAGACCTGGGCTAACCTGTTGGGACACACTGTAGGGAAAATGGGGCTGCCCAAGATAAAAGCAGTTAATTATCAGAAACAGGGTATATTTCTTGGGCAAAGGCACTTGAGATCTGACTAGGGCATATGAAGGAACGTCTACAGAAGCTGAGCTTCTGGGTAGCACAGACCTATTTTATTCTCCTACCAAGTCTGGTGATGTCAGTGTGCAAACACCCATGTTGTACCACCTATTCCACCTGTTCATACACTGCCTGGAAGAAGCAAGGGAAAGGAATGCCCTCAATGAGTTGGCCTGGGTTTAGCCCCACTCACATGCTGGTGTTTCCTAGGATCGCCTCCCTCAAACATACTTGTAACAGATGCTGTTAGTGCCCTGCCCAGGTCCCCCTGACCAGCTGCTAAGCACGCTGTCAACAGCTCATACAACGACCTACCTCAGGATTGCTCTAATGGGTGCTCCCTAGCCCAGAGGTGCCTATGGTTCCATTCTGCTTCTTTCAAGGAACCAATCATTTCTCCAATGAGCCCTGATGGCTTTGTAATGTAGAATGGTATGGTAGTAAGAAACCAAGGTCTGGGTATGGGATTAACTAATTGGCCTGTATTCAAGTTTGCTGATTCATTCTTCTGCCAGTGCTAATGTGCTACAGAGGTTCTCTAGTGAATTTTCATTTCATGTATTGTTCTCTCCAATTCCAGAATTTCTATTGCTTCTTTTCAAAAATAAGTTATATTTCTTTACTGATATTCTCTGTTTGGTGAGACATCACTCTCTTACATGCCTTTCATTCTTCAGACATAGTTTCCTTTAGTTCTTTGAACATATTTATATAAAAATTCTTTTCATATAAACATTATACTTTTATAAGCTCTCTATTTCTCATATATGGATATAGATATGATAGAGTCAAGCATCTCATGTCTTTCCTGGATATACACACCACCCTGCACATGTATGTGGTCTTCTAGATTTCCAGGATAATATCGGAGCTTTGGAAAACTCCAATGGGCATATCAGTTCCCAGTTTTTCCTTTTCGAGGCTTTGGTTAGTTTCTTGGTTGTTTCACTTATTATCAACATCTCAAGCAGCCGCAGTATTAAGAAACTGCAATGATAAACAAAAGCAATGTCATTGCTTTTGACATTCCCCCAAGGGGAAATGGCTATTCACAGTAAGCTTGAGCTGGGGAGAGGAAAGAGGACAATTAAAATGCCGCGTATCTCTCGGTTCCTACTGAAATATGGCTGTTTTGCTTGAATAAATGCTCCTTGGATTATCGCATGCCTTTGGTTAACTTCTAAATTTCTGAAAAAGTTGATGATAAGCGTTGCCAGCGTTCTCACTGCTTTTATGAACAAATCAGTTTTTGAGATTCTTCCTCCACCATTCTAGATGTGGCTTTAAAAAAAAATTATCTTTATGTTTCCTATTTAATCGATTTCTGCTCTTAGGTTTATTGTTCTTTCCCTGCTTCTTACTTTGGTTTTATTTTCTTCCTAGATTATTAAAACTGAAATTTAGATTATTGGTTTGAGAGTTCTTTTCTTATAGAAGCATTTTATACTATAAATTTCTCTCTAAGCATACCCAACATTTTGATACATTGTATTTTCCTTTTCATTCAGTTCAAGATATTTCCTAATTTCCATTATGACTTCTTTCTTGAAAAATTGATTATTTAGATGCTAAATACCAACTATTCAGAGTTTTCCAGATTAATTTCTGCTTTTTTTTTTTTTAAGCTTATTTATTTGTCAGAGAGAGCGAGAGAGAGAGAAAACACAAGCAGGGGGAGCAGCAGGCAGAGGCAGAAGCAGGCTCCCCGCTGAGCAGGGAGCCAGATGCGGGGCTGGATGCCAGGACCCTGAGATCATGACCTGAGCTGAAGGCAGAGGCTTAACCCACTGAGCCCCCCAGGCGCCCCTACACTAAACTCTTGCTGCATGCTCCGCCTTTGTCATTTGTTGTTTGTGTGGCATAGTGTTGTCTATTTACAATTTTAAAAGGAGAAATGAGACTATTTCTTAAGAGCAAGTATTCTGAAGCCTCCATAGTTCCATCTGTTGAAATAATTGTTTCCCACGTTGGAGATTGTGTGCCTTTATGGACTAATGAGCTCAGTGGTAGGTGAGAGGCTGCAAGGCAGAGTAGAAGGTGTTTAGGCTTCGAAAGAAGGACCTGGATCCCAGCTCCTTCACCACTTAACAAGAGTTCAACCTTAGTAAGCCCATTAAGCCCTGGCCTTCCCTGACTTCATCCATTACGTGGAAGTAGCAATGCCTACTTAAGGGTTTTCTATGAGGATTAGGGATACTGCAAACAGAGTGCCCAGGTTGCATTAGATACTAAATAATGGCACTATTATTATGGTGAGTCCTTGGTGTTACACAACAGCAGCTATGCTGTCCAGGACTCCCAGTGCCATATAATCAAACTGGCAGGAGATTACTGAGTTCAGAGGACAACTGCTTACTCTCTTGGGGGAGTGGCAAGTATCAAAGGCTGATTAACTGTTGACCTAACCCAAGGTGCCAGGGAGCCAGACTCCCGGTTATGATGTGTCCCTGCTTTGATCGTCCAATTAAGCATAACTTCTGGATAGCACTTTGCTGACTTTTCAGGGGGCCGGTAGAGTATCTTAAGGTGGCTTAAAAATCCGGAAATAACACATACAGGGGAAAACCCAGTTCAATAATAACAAATTTTCCTTCCTTACTGTTAGCTTCCTTGTTTCTTCTTTCTCCGGCTCAGTGAATACCAACACAAGGACTACTAACTCTTCTGACACTTTTTTTTGGTTTTCTTCCAAGAATATATTTTCTTGTCTAAGTGCCAACGCCTTCCCTGACTCCTTTGGGAAGAATGGGTGCATTCTGTGAGTCACGTCCACCGATTTTCAGGACAGTTTCCGAGCATTCAGTGGAAGGCAGTGCGGCGTGGTGAGAAAAGTCGAATCTGGGTCTCAGGTCACCTGGGTCTGGTCCCCCATCACCATTTCTGAATCTACGTGAAAGGGGCCGATGGCACTGCCTTGGTCTCCTCATTTGTAAAGTGCATCAAGTGCAGTCTTAGGTGTGAGCAAGCTTTGTCGCACACGTGGTAAGCCGTGACCCCGCAGTACCCCAAACGGACCGCGCTCACAGCCTCCACCAGGGTCCGACCCGCTTTGGGCGCGAGCCTGCGGCGCAGCGCCGGGAACCTTAGGTTGCGCGCGCAGCATCTCTTCCGCCTTCCGAGCCCCGCGTCCCTGTTGCCAGGGGAACTGGGGGCGGTGCGCTTTCCGGCGCTGTCGCGGCGAGTCACAGCTGTCATGGCGGAGACGGTCTGGAGCACTGACACCGGGGAGGCTGTGTATCGCTCCCGGGACCCCGTGCGCAACTTGCGCCTCCGGTAGTCGCATCGTCCCAGAGCCCTGTGCTTTTATGCTCTCAGATAATTCGAGCCTGAACCTCACTTCTTGTTTGCTGAGTCCCCACTTGCGCTTTCAATCCCGACTCTGCCTCCTGGTCTCCCGGCGTCTCCCTCACTACCCTCAACCCTCTCCACTTACGGCTTCCAGACCTACCCAAACCCTTTCAAGCCTCTGCCCTTCTCAAATTCCTCAGAGCTCTGTACCCAATGCACTTATCCGCACTCTTCCCCCTTAAGACCCCCGGCCGTGCTCACGCGCACACAACACATCTTGGAGCCCCACCCTCTTCTTTCTTTTGTTCCTCCCATCTTTGCTCTGTGTTCATCTTCAGGTTGTGTGTCTTGTAATGAGTGTTCTGGGCTTTTCTTTTCCTGACAGAGTCCACCTGCAAAGAATCACATCCAGCAACTTCCTCCGTTACCAGCCTGCTGCCCAGCCTGGGAAGGACCTCATAGACTTGGCCACTTTTAGGCCTCACCCAACTGCCAGTGGGTGTAGGGTGGTGATGCGACCCCTTGGGGACCTGGGGAAGGGCCTGGAGCGGTAGTTGCCTTTTAAGACAGAGTAGGCCCAGATCTGTAGTCTGAGAAAAGGCATAGAGAGGTTGTGTTCCTTGCCCAGGGTCACGTGGTTGGTAAATGTTGAAGCAAGGATTTGATCTCAAGCAATTTTAACTATTCCGTTATGTTGTGTTAAGAAAATTGAGTAAGACATGATTCTTGCCATCAAGAGCTGAACTGAACTATGGCCAGATGTTGTAAAATGACAGAAGACTATACTTTTGATATGTTAAACATCTGCTGGCAAACTAGATACTGATTGTGGCATTTTTTGCTAAGAGAAAATACGCTCCAAACTCCTAATGTATGTGTATACTATGCATAAATGTCTGTACTATGCATACATATATACATTGTGTGTACTACATACATGTATATAGTGTATAAATGTATACTTTAAATATATATATATTTATATGTATATTTATGCCCACTACCTAAAACAATTTTAAAATTGGGGTCTGCTTGAAAAAGGTACATATTAACACCAACTGTGCTTCTGCAGTTTCCTTATCTCAGAAGCCAGAAGAATGAGAAAGAGAGGACAGTGTGTTTGTGTTAAATCACTAGTCTCTCTGCATGTGTTGTATCTGTTCAGATATATTCCCAGGCATGAGTGTGGGCTGGTGTGTTTTGAAGCACATGTCTCAAAAAGGCATACTCAGCCAAGAGTGTATTCGGTTTGTTTCTTTAAATAATAATTTATTTGCTTTTCTTCTTCTCTTCTGGTGGTTTGCCTCTTAAGGTTACAGTGCCTGTGGTTCTAGACGTATGGCTTCAGGAACAGTAAAGACAAGGACGCCAGGGCTCCTTTCTAGCAAATGTGGACAGTTGGGATTGAGGAAGAGCTATCCAGACTATATTCTGAATTTGACTCCTGACACTGAATTAGATTAAATAATTCCTGGGAGCCATGCTTTCCTTTTATTCAAATTACAGTGATAATTAAGACTGCGCAGGTCCTAATCTTGGCTTCTACATACATCCCCAGCCTCTCCAACCTTTGTTTAGAGTGAGCGCTTAATAAATCCCCAAACTCCAGCTGGTTTTGTGGCAAATACTAGAGCAGGGACTTGGGTTATAACCAGTCACAGAGCGAAAGGTGGGGCTGATTTGACTCAAACGTTTGACTCACTCTGTGGTCTTTGGAGGTGGACACCGCTCAGAGGAAGAGGAAGAGGAAGAGGTCGTGATTGGGTGGCAGGAGAAGCTCTTCAGCCAGGTGAGCCCATGCCACCTCTCCACTCAGTTTACATCCACCTACTCCGCCTTCACCTGGCTGGTAGCAGGGAAGCCTTCCTGATGCATATCACCTAACTGATTTCCAGAAAATTATAGCAGTTTATACTCCCCCCCCTTTTTTTTTTTTAAGATTTTATCCTTTTGTTTGGGTGGGGGGAGGGAGAGAGAGAGAGCATGAGTGGGGGGAGTGGCAGAGGGAGAGGGAGAAACAGACTCTCCATGGAGCATGGAGCCTGACATGGGGCTCGATCCCAGGATCTGGAGATCATGAACTGAGCCAAAGGCAGACCTGCTTAACCGACTGAGCCACACAGGTGCCACCCCCCTAAGCCCCCATTGTGTTTAAAGGGCAATATAACATAGTGAATGACACTACCCAGTTCTGTGATCCTGGGTAAAACACTTGTCAATTCTGGGTGAAATCTGCTGTCTGTAACAGGGTCTGGACCCAGACCTAGACCTAGGGTCTAATTGGACTAGACCCTCACTCTGGTTCCATTTAGCTCTAACATCCTTTGGATCCCCTGCCCTCAGTTAGTTCAGATAAGTGGAAGTTGGCTGTGGGAACATATCGAATTGCATTGGCTCTATAGAACTGATTTGATGAAACCGTTACAGAAACCAAAGTTTGACATATTCTCAGTAGATCTCTGTGTCCTTGTGACCTCAGTTTGAAGTAGATCTGTACCGAAACGAAGCAGCTTGTCAGAGCCCTTTGGATCATCAGTACCGACAAGAGATCCTGAAACTGGAGGATTCGGGTGGCAGGAAGAACCGACGAATTTTTACCTACACAGACTCTGATAGATACACCAATGTGGAGGAGGTATTGTTTTTCCTGGGCTTCCATAGCTTCCTTCTTTCCCTCCCCTAGCTTTCTGGCCTCATTGGGTTCTGTGTGTTAAACCAGAAGCCTATTCAGACAGGCAGCCTCTCCAGAAACTGCCTTGTGCTGCTGGTAGCCAAGCTGGAGTCCGGGCCCAGTCTTCAGGTGGTGTGGCTGCTGCTCCTTCTCCACCTGCTGGAGGGCCTGGGGGAACGGGCAGTGTCTCTCATGATAGGCAGGCTAGAGACCCGGGGAGGACTTCCTCCATGCATCATGAGATGAGGCAGGTGGGTGGAGACTTGAACCATCTAGATAATGCAGCCACAACTCTGAATCTATAGGTTTCAAGAAGGCTTCAGTACAGCTGTGGGGGGTGGCTTACTGCTCCGTTCCCAGTGCTCACAAACCCTTACGTTTGCCTCAGTCCCCGTATGACATATTCTTTCTTCTCAGGAGATTTTTAAAATTCCTTGAGAGAAAAGCCTGTATTTTCTGATTTTTGCCTATGACCTTTGTAGCTCTGTAAGGAGCAGGTATTAAATGAATGTTTTTGAAAGACTGATGCTTATGTTAGGTAGCATATAAAAGTTGGGTTTTCTGTTTTAGAAAAGTAAATGAAATTAGTTAGTGCTGAATTACCCATGGGAGGACTTTTCACAGGATACTTTGTATCCCATTTGGCATCTTCCAAGTACCTGGTAACATCAGCATCTACCAGGCACACTCACCCAACTTTTTGTTGGTATGTAGTCAGAGATTGCAGACTCATTTATTTTTTTTTAAAGATTGATTTATTTATTTGAGAGAGAGAGCATGTGCATGGTGGGAGAGGGGCGGAGGGAGAGAAAGAGAATCTCCAGCAGGTTCCGGTGCTGAGCGTGGAGCCCAATGAGGGGCTCGATCCCAGGACCCCAAAGATCATGACCTGAGGCAAAACCAAGAATCGAACATTCAACCCACTGTGCCACCCAGGCACCCCTGCAGACAGACTCATTTTAATATTAGCATAAATAAACTCCTTTCTGACGGATGATATGCTGCTAAAATCTTGGAACAAACCAAGGCATGGTAGGAATCTTCTTTGGCTTCTTTGTGCCACTGCTCCCCTCCCCTAATGTTTATAACTGGGAGGTGGGTGTACCCCTTAGATACAGGTTCCAGATGAGGTGTCAGAAGGAGGGCTTGCCTTCAGCACTTCATCCCACGTGGCCCTGACCAGATGGGTCACACAGGGCTGTTCTCCTTCCCTAGCACTGTCAGAAAATGACCACCGCAGCCCGGGAGGCACCATCATTCTTGGTCGAACGGATGGCCAATGTCAGGCGGCGACGGCAGGACAGGCGAGGGATGTGAGTACAGATAAGTAGGGGGTTGGGGCGGGGGCTTTGTAGTCCTTCCAGGCCAGTGTCTGGGTATGTCTGCCACCTCGAGCTTCCTGTTCTGCAGGAGGCCTCCTCTGGGTGTGCTCCGCCAGGTGCTTCCTTTGGGCTCTTCAGGGGGTGCCGCCTTCCTGTGGTGTCTTCCAGGGAGGGCGGCATCCTCAAGTCACGGATTGTCACCTGGGAACCCTCAGAAGAGTTTGTCAGGAGCAACCATGTCATCAACACCCCTCTTCAGACAATGTACATCATGGCAGACCTGGGACCCTACGGGAAGTGAGTGAAGCCCTCACTGCCCAGCTCAGGTCCTCCTCCTCTTCTCATCACCCATCACGTACCCTGTTAGAGTCCCCCTGGGGAATGCAGAAGGGAGGGACTGTTTCTTCTTTTTCTTCTTAGTCCCACTCAGAAGAAGGCATTTGACCATGGCAGTTCTCACTCCAGCCCAGCCTCTGTCCTCTCCCCTGACGTGGGCTGACTACCTCTTCCTCTCTCTGGTTAGTGGGACCAGCAGTGTTGAACCGGGGTGTTGATTTCCTGGTTTCTAGGCTTGGCTATAAGAAGTATGAACATGTCCTCTGTACTCTGAAAGTGGACAGCAATGGTGTGATCACAGTAAAACCTGACTTCACTGGCCTCAAAGGACCCTACAGGTGAGGAGAGGAAGAGAGGGGGCGTGGGGACTGGCATTCCTTTTCTTGGCTTCACTTCTTGCCCCAAATTGAGGAGATTCTGAGAAAGTCCTTCATCTGTCCTGGTTTCTAAATTCCCAGCTAATGGTTCGTATTCTGTTTTATAAGAGACCTTTAGCACCCTGGGGACCCTGTTCTCGGAAAGTGGGCAGCTGTACGAGTGTGAAAGGGCTAAGTAACTTCATTGGCGTAGTTAAGTGAAAATAATTCTCTGTGCTGCTGCCTGCAGGGACCAGCCAGAGCAGGGTGGGACGGGCTCAGCCAGGTCTCTTCCTTTGGCCTGCCTCTTGCTACCTCCCTGTCTTACAGTAAAAGAGCTATAAATTAGAAATGACCCAAGGCTCCCTGTTTGTTTTTCAGGTGAGAGAACTGGTTGCCAGGAATGTCATGCTTTAGGGTTTCCGCGTGACTTTGAGGCAGAAATGGGCCCCCAACCCACGCTCCATGTCCACCCTAATGCTCTTTCTGCTTTTCCATTTTGTTTCCCTCACCTGCTCATCGTTCTGGCCACTTTCGTCCTCATTTGCTTCGAGCAAGGTGTATGGCCAATGATGGCTCATTCCTGGGCTAGGTCTGGAGAGATCTCATCAGAGCTGGTCTTTCTGTGGCTTTGACTTTACAGAATTGAGACCGAGGGGGAGAAGCAGGAGCTGTGGAAGTATACAGTGGACAATGCGTCCTCCCTCGCGCAGCCAGAGGAGGAGGAGCGGGAACAGCGTGTGTTCAAGGATGTAAGAGTGACCTCCTTCCAAGTGCAGGGATGAGCCTGGGTGCCTGGGAGCTGAGAGCATGTCTGAGGTTCATGCCCACAGTTGCAGGGTCTTTCTTACTGGCCCTCTCCTGACATAGGAAGCATTGCTGACATATCAGACCTGAGCTTTTGATCCTACCATAACATACTAATAACAATGACCATTTATTTGAGCATGTACCATGCTCTGTGAGGCCTGTCACGTACTTTATTTCCTCACTTTAAGGTGAATGCTTTTACTATTATCATTTTATAAACGAGGAAACTGAGATTGAAAAGCTAAGAAGTCTGCCCAAGGTTATAGGGCTTATAAGTGCCAGGCACAGGACTGGGCCCCAGACCAGCAGACTCTGGAGCCTCTGTGCTTTACTTGAAAAAGTTGGCGGTGTGGATGGTTCAGCCTGGGCTCTCTGTGGCATTTCCTGTTATAGCGTCTTTTGTCCCTCCCATTCAGAACTGACCCCGGTCTGGCTGGGTTTGCATCTTGAGTTTGCTTATGGTTTGTTTCCTCAGCTTTATGGCCGGCACAAGGAGTATCTCAGCAGCCTCGTGGGCACAGACTTTGAGATGGTGAGTGGCTTGGCTTCCTGCCCCACCACGAGCCGGCTTTAGCCAGAGCTTTCGGACTGTGGCTGAGTAACAGCGTGTCTCTTAAAGGACATATGCTTCATGCCAGAAGGAAATCAGAGACTAGCATATAGAGCACAGTTCTTGTTATGTGTTTTAAAATATAGCAGAGGTGCATGGGTGGCTCAGTTGGTTAAGCCTCCGACACTTGATTTCAGCTCAGGCTGTGATCTCATGAGATAAGGGTCATGAGATAAGCCCCGCGTTGGGCTCCATGCTCAGCGCAGAGTCTGCTTGAGAACCTCTCCCACTACACCTCCCGCCCACCCCCCAGCCTTGCTTGAGTGAGTGGGGAGCGGGGAGGAAGCACACGGCAGTGCATATGGCGGCTGCCAGTGTCAGGTCTTCCAGGGATTGGTGAACGGGCTGGAGGACGAGTGCTGACTCCCCTGGACTCCCTGGCTCCTGATCCTGTCCCACTTCTCTCTTCTTTAGACTGTACCAGGTGCCCTCCGGCTCTTTGTAAACGGAGAGGTGGGTAAGTGCCTTGCCAGACAGGGATCCCCTGATGCTTGGGCAAGGCCCCGACAGCTGCGAGGTAATCCGCCCCACCCTGGTGGAGGTGCTGGCTTGTCTGCCCTACTTGGGAAACTCAGTCGTGAGCCTTTCCTGGAAGCGCAGGGAGTTCCTGGCCCTCAAGGGCCTTGCTTCCCAAAGTGCATAGGCCCTTTAGGACAGGGTTGGGTGCCAAGGGCAACAGGAGAATAAGCTAAAATCGTTTCTTGTTTTCTTAGTTTCAGCGCAAGGCTATGAGTATGACAATCTCTACGTCCACTTCTTTGTGGAATTGCCATCTACTAGTAAGTAATATTCCCAAGTTTCTTTTATACCCATTCTGACAGTTTTGTAGAGGCATTAAGTCAGGCTTCCCCACTTTGTTTTTGTTTTTGTTTTTTTAAGATTTTATTTATTTATTTGACAGACAGAGATCACAAGTAGGCAGAGAGGCAGCCAGGACCCTGGGATCATGACCTGAGCCAAAGGCAGAGGCTTAACCCACTGAGCCACCCAGGCGCCCCAGGCTTCCCCACTTTTTCAAAGAAACTGTAACTGTTCTTTTCAAGGTCATAGATCACTTTCAAGTGGTCAAATCCTGTGGTGACATCTTTGCATTCCTGCTACATGACCTCTGAGAAGCACGTGGCACAGCTCACGTTTCCTCACTTGAACTATCCTCTTGGCTTCTGGCTCCATGCTCCTCTCTTTGCTCTCATTGGTGGCTCATGAGTCCCCTTGGCTTTTGGCTCATCTGTTGGTCTCAGAGCTGTAGAGTGTCCAGGGCTGGGCCTGGGCCTTCTATTACTCCCTCTCTGTAGTCTTTCTAGGTGGTTCCATCCATCTCATGGCTTGTCTACTACGTATGTCTCAGGCCCCTAGTATTCTCTCTAGCCTTGGCCTTTCCCCCGAACTTCAGGCTCATACCTGCTTGTCATTCCTGCCTAACATGATCCAAAGAACTCTTGATTCTCCCTCCTGTGTAAAACCGGCCTTCATGGTCTTCCCTAAGGGACATGATGTTGTCATTACTTAGTTGCTGCTGCCAACTAACAATCGAGACATCCTCGATTCCTCACTTTCTCTAGCTCCCCACAGCTAGTCATTCCCTCAACAGTTTCTGTTCGCTCTATCTTCCAAAGATGTCCCTGGCTCCTCTATCAAGCACCTTACACGAAACCTCCTCCATCTCCTGCCCAGGCCCATGAATTAACTTTCTAACTTACCCCTTTGCTTCCTTTATAGTTCATTTGCCACAGACACCACAGCCAAATGGAACCTTTGAAAATGTAAATTAGTTGTATCTTTCTTGAACTTTAAACCCCAACAGCTTTCCCTCCCACTTAGACTAAGATCCCAGCTCCAAAGCTGGAGCAAGCTGGCCCCTGCTGATCTCTCCCTTACAATATTCCAGTCATACTTTCTGTTTTTGAACATGCCAAGTTCATTTCCTCCTTAGGGCCTTTTGGAGGTCATTTCCTTTGTCTGAAACCCTTTCTGTCATATCTTTGCACGACTGAGTTCAGGTCTCAGCCTAAGTGTCTCCTCTGAGAGGTCCTTCCTCACCACCCCATCTAAGAGCCTGCTCTGTATTTAGTACGGCCTCTGTCACTACCTGATAGCCTCTTGTTGGTTTGTTGTCTGTGTTCCCCGCAAGCTGGCATGGTAGCTCCTTGAGAGACAGGGATCACTTCTGTTTGCCGACCACTATATCCCCAGTGACTGGTCGTGGCACATAGGAGACACTCAGCAAATGTTAGGTGAACGATGGTGTGTGTGAACGCATGAAGAGGTGAAGGAACTTTGCTCTTTTCTCAACTCCCTACCTCCCTCCCAGGTCAGTTTACCATATATGGTCTTTGGCTTTCAGATTGGTCAAGCCCAACATTCCAGCAGCTCTCAGGAATAACACAGACCTGTGCCACCAAATCCCTGGGGATGGTACGGAGGACAGGAGGGCTCTCTGGCCAGGAGCGGGACTCTGGAGATTATCGGGCCACCAGCCGGGGGAGCAGTCAGAGTTGCGTCCGGCCCTTCTCTGCAGGCTCTCAGGCTGCCGCCTGGTGCAGGGCTTCCCTCTCTGTCTTTCTGAGGATGGTAGCAGCTTATATGTGGGTGCCCCGTCCCCTCTCAGCCTCTTATTTCCCCTGTTGGGAGGGGGGATAGTTTTTCTTTCTCCCTTGTGAAGGTGTCACTGGCCTCAGAGAGAACAGATTCTCAGTGAGGCCTTGCCTACTCCATGACCCTGAGTATGAAATAACACTTCTCTTGTTTAGGATAAGGTGGCTTACTTCTCCTACCCGTTCACATTTGAGGCCTCCTTCCTCCATGAAGACGAATCTGCTGGTGAGTAGCTCAGTAGATCCTGGGCCCAGGCTGTCCTCTGGTGGGGGGAAGGCCTCCTGTGACCTGGCTGCTTCTCTCACTTTTCCCAGATGCCCTCCCGGAGTGGCCTGTGCTCTACTGTGAGGTCCTCTCGCTGGACTTCTGGCAGAGGTATCGTGTGGAAGGCTATGGCGCTGTGATGCTGCCTGCCACCCCAGGTGACGTCTCATCCCCGCCCTCCACGTGGCCCACATGCCCCAGCTCCGAGGACTGAGACTAACACTTCTCAAACATTTGGCCCCTCCCAGGGAGGAGGAGGCACAATTAGGAATTAGAAGCATTGAATTTGCTGGATTCCTTGCTCCTTTGAGGCCTTCTCCCTGCTCCCTGAGAGACAGCTTAGCGAGCCTGCAGCTGACTAGGAAGCCGAGCAGCCCGGGTGTCTGTGGCATCTGCTCCGAGCGCCTCTGTTTTGACTTGCAGCCTAGAGGGAGGCGCTCAGGCAGGGTGGGCTCTTGGCATCCGTGTATTGAATGGATCGGCACTCATTCTGAAATAAGAGCCACTGTGTCCTGTCTGGCGCTCGGCATTGTGCTACGTGCTTCCCACCAGCCACTCCGCAAGGTGGAGGCATTACCATTGCCCTTTTACTAGTGAGGGGCATGGGGCTCGGAGGAGTGAAGAAACTTCTGCTGGGAACACAGGTAATAATTGGCAGAGCTGACGTGTGAATTTCTAGCTGACTGACCTCCAAACAGGTACCCCAGACCACCAGGATCCCCTCATCAGAGGTCAGGTCGTCCCCAGACAAGGTGTTCCAGTGGTGGCTAGGCTTATGTCACTGCTGGGAGTCCAGTGAGGGACCGCATGCCCTCTCTGGCTGAGGCCCCACTCTCCCGGCACAGGCTCGCACACCCTGACAGTCCCCACGTGGAGGCCCATGGAGCTCGGCACGCTGGCTGAGCTGAGGAGGTTTTTCATCGGCGGCTCTCTGGAATTGGAGGACCTCTCCTACGTGCGGATACCAGGAACCTTCAAGGTACCTTTTGTCTCAGGGTAGACTTCACGTTGGGAGCTTAGGTTCCTATCTCTTCTGCAGAAGGTGGGATCAGGGTTAAGGCCCCTTTGTTGCTTCATTATTACTTAGTCCCTTCTTTCCCATGGCTTCAGCTGGAGGTCATGGCCACATCTTAAACCAGGTACAGACATCTACACTGCTATCCTGGGAGATCTCGGGAAATGAGTAGATTTAAAGTCCTGTCAGAGTGACTGGCCTCTCCTTCCAGACCATCACTGAGGCTTCAGTCACCAAAGGCGGCGAGGATTGGCAGGCCTCTTCTCAGACTGCTTATTCTCAGCTGACGTTGGGGCATCCCCTGATGTACAGTTGGGAGTCCCACGTTAGCCTTGAGGTGATGGAGTCTGGGTGCTGGAAGGAAGTTCCCCCCAGTGGATCTCTTTTCCAAGAGTGGGAGTAAGAATGGGTCTGCACAGTGCTTGGGGTCTAGAACCCCCAGAAACCTGACGCTGTCTTAACTGCATGCCTCAGGGGGAGCGTCTGAGCCGCTTTGGTTTCCGCACCGAGACCACTGGCAGCGTCACCTTCCGCTTGCACTGCCTACAGCAGTCCAGGTGAGTGACCCCGGCCCTCCGCCTCGGGGAGCCTTACCCCATGGGCTGGGCAGCAGCCCTGACCATGTGCTGGGCTTCTGTGCAGGGCCTTCATGGAGTCAAGTTCCCTCCGGAAAAGGATGCGGAGCGTGCTGGACCGTCTGGAAGGGTTCAGCCAGCAGAGTTCCGTTCACAATGTGCTGGGTAGGTTTCCCTCCACCCCTTAGCCGGCCACCCCACATCGGCACGAGCCCCACCTCTCCCCACACCACGGTGGCTGACCACTGCACTTGCTCCCCTCACAGAGGCCTTTCGTCGTGCCCGGCGCCGCATGCAGGAGGCCCGAGAAAGCCTTCCCCAGGACCTCGTGAGCCCCTCGGGGACCATGGTTTCCTAGCTCGCAGCGGCCCTGTCCCCCTTCCCCCCTGTGCAAGAGGATAAGATGGGTGATGTTTGAGGCTGGTGTCATCCTGCCTCTTCATCTTTCTCCCCAGCGACCCCACCAGCCTGCTGAGACCCAGAAGAGCAGAGAGTCCCAGGCCGGTGCCTCTGCCTACTCTTCGGCAGGGCCTCCCTCTGCCAGGCGGCGGTACCACTGGAGACCTGCGATGCCTCTCTGCATATTTCAGTTCCTGCGAGCGGCTGTCACGCCAGGGCAGGCTTGCTGGGTTAGCCCAGGGTGGGGTGACCCCACCATTAGTCCTGTCCTCACACGGCCTCTTTTCTGGCTTGTCTCGCTGTCTTGAGAGCAGAGAGCTGCAGGCGCCTCCTGCCTCAGAGCCTGCATTACAAGTGGAGGCTCAAGAAAGGAAGAGGAGAAGATCCTGAATGCCTGGCCCGGGAGACTCGGCCTCCTCTTTCCAGGGTAGCCTCCTCCTGCCACTCGGGGCTTGTTGGATTTGAGATACAAGGAAATGAAGGCTGAAGGCAGTGCCCAGTCCTTTCTGCTAGCCGGGTAGTATCTTTTATTGTGTTTTTTGTACATAAAAACTTTTTGTACTGACTAACATGTTGGCTGTTTTTCTGCTCAGGTTGCTGGCGTGGCCAGGGTATTCTCCTGAACCTTCCCTTTTCTGCCCTTCCCCACTCAAGAGTGTCTGGAGTCAGCCCACAAGAGAGGCTTAGGGGTTAGTCCCAGTGGGGTCCAGGCAGTGTTCCTCTCAAATGTTTGGAGCAAAGCACGAGGCTGAGGCTGTGCCCTCCCCAGCCTAACGCAGAAACCAGCTCTTGCCCTAAGCAGTCTTTTATTGGTACAAGCGGAGCTCACCACCCGGCCTGCAGGCTTAGCAGAGGGTGGTGGGGCAGCTGGGTCCGGGTGTGCTGTGAGCTGCAGTCATGGCCGGGGGACGGGGACAGGCTGGGAAATAGCAAAAAGGTCAGAGACCAACCAGATGACTCTTCTTGCCTGGGCCTCAAGACCTTCTTGCACCCAGAGCCAATAGACCTAAGACCTACGAGGCTCCCAAGGTGGGCGAGTTCACTGCTGCCGGGAGCCCTGGCTGTCGCCCTGGCTGTCGCTCCCAGCCACAGAGCCAGCCATGAGCCAGAGCCAGCAAAAGCGTCAGCAGGTGCGGTTGCTCCAGGGGAGGAGGCCTCCTCGTGGTCTTCCCCAGGTTCCCTTGTGCCTGTGGCCGGAGGCTTGGGGTGGGCTCCTGTGGAACAGCAGACATGAGCAAGTGAGGAATTTGCTGGAGGTCCAGACACGGGGCTGTCTTAGGGTGCTGACGACTAAGCTAAGGCTTCCCGATTGCCCCCCAAAGTCCTAGGCCTTGGATTAACTCTCTGTCCAGAAGCTAGCATACCGGAAGCCAGCAGGGAAGACCACCCTGCCTCTGGTGACAGGTTTGGTTGTCCCTGCTTGGAAGTCTAAAAGGACTCAGCCATCTGGTCAGGGAAGGATGTTGGAGGAGGGACGCCCCTTACCTGTAGAGGCCTCATGTGCCCCGCCAGGCTGACAGGTTCAGCTTCGGGATGGAGGTGCAGCTCACAAAGCCCCGCGGGTAGGTGTTGGCCCTGAAGATGTCCCTCGAAACGGTGGTGATGCCGGTATTGTCGCACACGATTCGAGACAAGGAAATCTTGCTCAAGGCCTTGCGCTGTTCTGTGGTGAAAACGCCCCGTTTTTCCCACCAGAACCTACCAAGACAAGTCAAGAGATGTAGGTGAAGGTCAGGGAGGAATGAACATAACAAGCACCTGCAGTATTTCCCGAACGTCACATTATTTCACTCGTCTCTCCAGAATTCCCGCAAAAATTTATAAATGAAGAAATTCACAAATGAATTTATAAATGAAGAAACAAGTACAGTGGTCAAGGAAATTGCTCAGTATCAAGGGCGTAGTAATTTAAGCGGCCAGGGCTGGATTTGAACCTGGACTCGGGTCGTAAATGATAAGCTTTATTGGAAGGAAACCAGATTTAGTCCTTTCTGCCTATGTTTTCTGGGACCTCCTGGCCAAACTGCTCAGGCACCATCAGCCTTGCCCAGCCCATGGTCTCTCACTCTGTCCAGGCTCTCCGCAGAGGAGCCTCTTGGCCTCGGACCCTGTGAGCTCAGAAGAAACAAATCCAGAAAGGGCGCTTTCCCCCTTGCTGAGTCTTGACATGCTAGTGCTTTTCTGCCCTGTCTCTGGGGCTGGTCTCTTCAGGGGAGGGTCCCTTACCTGTCCCCATCTCGGGCTCTCCTGAACTGGTTTTCAAAAAGACAAGCCAGAAGAGGCCCCACTCGGGCCCCTGGCAAAAGAGGCTCGGCGATGGCCCCAATCCAGATGTCAATGTTGTCAGGTGTCCCGTACAGATTCAGGAACTTCCTCGCCAAATCCTGGTTTTGCAGCACCCGGCTGAGCTGTGCCAGGTTCCGGGGCTGGGAGAGCCCACAGAAGTGCCTCCAGGCATTGTACCCTGTAGGGAAAGGGGGCGGAGGAAGGTCAGTCTCACCCTGCTGACTTCCCCTTAGCTTCTGCTTCTCCACAGTTTCTCCTGAGAGAGCTCTGGGGTCAGGAAATGTCAGGCAGAGCAAGATCCCTGCTGACAGAAGAGACTGAACCTTCCAAAGATCAAACCACTGCCCTCTAGTTTCCAAAGTGAGTAGACAACCATGCTCTGTGTGCACCAAACTGAGGAGTGTGTCCTAATACAACACCTAATACCCCAGGGCTATTGGGCTCAAGTGCATCACTTAGGTACAAATGAGACAGACGCAGAACATAAAAGACTCTTACTCAGATCTGGAGAAGGAAAGAATGAACAAATACATAGGCGAACAAACGAAGAAATGAAGAGCCTGGTTAAAGTTTACTCAGAAAAGGACCACATGCCGTTTGATTCCATCTACATGAAAGGTCCAGAGCAGGCAACCGTGTAGACATAGAAAGATCAGTGATTGTCAAGGGCTGGGGTGGGGACAGCAGTGACCGTTATTGTAAGGTTTCTTTTGTGAGTGAGGAAAATGTGCTGACATTAGCAATGGTGATCAGTGGGCCGAAGACCTTAACAGATGCCCACCCCGCAAAAAGAGCGATCGATGCACAACTCTAGATATACTGAAGTCATAGAATCGTATACTTCATATGGGGGAATTTTACAATATGCTAATTATATCCCAACAAAGCCATTTGAACATTTTTTTCACTACCAAGACCAGTCTTCTGATTTCTCTGCTATTAGGATCCCACCCAGGACCAAGCCAGAGGATGGGGCGGGGACCATGAAGATAGGAGACAGATTTGCCCTAACCTTGAAGAAACACCTGCCCAATATTGTCCATTGAACTACAACTCACAAACACCATCCTCAGGGTGAGCAAAGGAAGACGATATAATGCTTTACCTCACTAAGCACTGGTCGTGATCATCTTTTAGGGTCCTCACAGCACCTCTGTGAGGCACTTTGTAATCTCCATTGTATCAATGGGTATTTGCCCAGCTTGAGCAACTGTGAGTTTCTTCAGGTTACCCCATCAGTAAGTGAATTTCATACAAGCTCTTCCAATTCTAAATTTGGTGTTGAACTTGGGATGGGATTGGAGGAGACTGTGGGAGCTAGTGTCTGGACAGTTATTTCTGGGACAGCTTGGAGGGCAAGGTGTGGCACCTGGGTAACTGGCAATCTCAGTTCTCCAGCAGGGGGCGCCCACGGCTCTTTAGTGGTGGGGACCCCTCCACCCCCAGCCCCATGTAAGGAGGCAAGAATAGGTTCTTGAGCACCAGCTGTGAGCCTACCAGGTGCTCTGGTAGGTGGAGTGGAGACTGCCCCCATCCCATTACACAGAGCCACAGATGAGCGGAGGCAGATGGGGATTCAGGTAGTAGACAGGAAAGTAGGGGAGGGGGAGAGGGGACAAGATGGTGAACAAAGCCTTCCCCTAACATTATGGCTTGCACAGAAGGAAGGAAGGAGACATTCTGAACCTGATTCAAATTTTACTACTTCCTAGATATGTGGCTTCGAGAGAATGACTAGCTGTCTCTGAACTTATTTCCTCATCCATTAAAACGGCCGTAATAATTGCTTCTCAGGGTCATTGGCAGAACAAAATTATTAATAGCCATGAAAATTCCTGGTAAAGTGCTTAAGTTTTCTTCTTTCCTGGGATACACTTTTCTTCTTTCCTGAGATTTTTGTGTCCTCAGGAAACAGCCAAGGCCGTCTTAAGTTTACTCCACCTGGGTTCCGGCCTCTTGGGCTCTTTGCTTTTCTGCACTTAGAGCCCGGAGCCAGTTCCTATGTCCCCAGAACTAGAATCTTCCTCCTTGGAACTCGCCAGGGTAGCAGGGAACGGGGCACTTCTTCCCTGCCCTTTGACCCTACTGTTTTCTCCACCCAGGATGTCCTAATCTGCTTTGTCCACAAGCAGATCGTGTTTAGGTCGTGGCCGTGCTGTGAACCTACAGCTAGAGGACCTACAGCAGGGGGCGAAGATGTGGCAGGATGGCAAAGGGTGGTCACAGGGACGCTTTCCTTTCCTTTTCCGAGCTCGGCCTTATGTGCTTCTGAACCACAGCGCACGGGGTACATGGTTGCAGCCAGAAAGGATGCCCCAAGGGTCTCCTCTGAAACATGCCCCCACCCCCAGCGGCAGCTCCAGGCTGAGCAGAGCCCTCACCTGGGAGGCCATGGTCCCGGCTGCGCTGCATGTTGAGAGCCGCCAAGTCCAGTCCTATCCTTCGCACCTGCTGAAACAGCCGGTCCCGAAGCTCGTCCACCAATATGGAATCCTGACGGTTCAGCTTGGCAGGGGTGGCCATGAGGCCTCGGATGATGGGGTCGATGCCACCTAGTGTCGGGAAATGTGAGCAGCAAGGACCGGATTGGCCTCTGGGGAGACCCTGGGTCATTAGGAGGCCAAGCTAGCTCAGAGGGGGACAAGTCAGTGGCTTACATTCCGTAATGTTTGTATCAGGAAACAAAGGCCTGGGTAGACTTAAAGGGAGCTGAGGTTGGCAGGGAAAGAATTCACCCCTACTTCTTGAAGAAGGAGCAGAAGACAACCTCCTACCCGGCCCACAAGCCCATCTGACATGAGTCTCCTTCCCTTTGGAAATTCTCTGATCCCTGAGGGGGTAGGAGGCCCAGGCCTGAGGGTCTTGGTGTACCTGCCTTGTACTGCCCTGGGGAGATGGTTAGCAGTGGCCTGAGCAGCAGCCCAGCCTCCTGGCTCTAAGCTTGGCCCCACCCCCATTTCCATCTGCTTTTAAGACCTGGTCACCTTCATGCACGACTCGCCAGCTGGCAAAGAAGCTCGTGCTAAGCGGGACGCGCGAGTTGGGAGCTGAGGCCCGGTACTGGCTGTCCAAGCGGAACATGAAGGGCTGGAGCATGGTGTGGCCGAAGCGGAAGGCCAGGGTGAAGACATTGGCCACACGAGGGTCCACTTTGGAGCAATACCCACGGTAGGGTCCTAGTGTTCTGCTGGCCCGGGCCTTGCCTAGAACCAGGGGCAGAAAGTCTCGGTAGGTGATGATCTACAAGAGAAGGCAGGAGGAACATTACCTTAGCAGCTGTCCA